TGCGATATCCCTGCCACCCTCCCAGTGTGCAAAATGAGCCTGTCACACCACCTCCTTCTGCACTCAGGCCTCCAACCCTCCCACTCCTCTCAGTAAGCCCAGGGCCCTGCCGGCCAGGGTTCTCTGGGGAAAAATCCACGGCGTGTGTGTGTGTAGAGATATTTACAGGGTGTGTGTAGAGATATTTAGGGTATGCGTGTAGATGTTTAGGCTATGTGTGTAGACATATTTAGGGTATGTGTTTAGAGATATTTAGGGTACATGTGTAGAGATATTTAGGATATGCATGTAGAGATATTTAGGGTATGTGTGTAGACACATTTAGGGTGTGTCTGTAGAGATATTTAGAGATATGCATGTAGACACATTTAGGGTACGTGTGTAGATGGAGAGATTTAGAGAGATGGGGGGGGACTGGCTCACAAGATCATGGAGGCTGAGTGAGGCCCAGCCACATTACGGAGGGTCAGCTGCTTTACCCAAAGTTTACTGATCTCAATGTTAACCTCATCTAAAACCACCTTTGGGTGGCTCAGGTCATGACCTCAGGGGCCTGAGATGGAGTTCCACGGGCTCCTCACTCAGCACTCGTGTGCTCTCCACTCGTGCGGACGCTCTGTCTCTCTCAAACAAAACCCTAAAAGTACCTTCCCAGCAAATCTAAACCAGCGTTTGACCGCAACCTGGGCAGCCGGGCCTGGCCAAGCTGACACATAAACAGACCATCACACCTGCTCCTTCCGTGAGTGGACTGTGTCCACCTCTGGCTCCCGGACGGCCACGCACCCGCACGCCCAGAGGCCACCTTCCCTATTCTACTCCCTCGCCGCTCCCCTCGGCCCTGGACCCCAGACCCCTCCCTCCCTCAAGGTGGGGCTTGGGCTGCCCCCACCCACCTGGGGCCCCGTTTCTCTGGCGGTCTCCTGTCCCTCACCTCTCTGCTCACTCCAAACGGTGCTCCAGCCCAGCGGCTCCGTGGCCTCCAGTCCACTCAGGGGCGTCTCTACCCAATCCCAGGCCAGTGTTTACGTGCACATGGGCCTGGCAGCGGGACGCACCCCACGCACCCCCCCTTCCGTGAATCACACACACAAGGCTCAGCAATGCCCAGATTCCCAACACTGGGGGGGCCCGCCGTCCCTCCTCCTCTGCCTCCCCCTGGGTGTCCTCCGCACCCCCACTCTCCTCGCAGTCGGGGAGCTGCCATGGCCCGGTTCGGCCTGCTCTTCTCCACCCCTGCACGTGCGTCGGCCTGCTCTTCTCCACCCCTGCGCGTGCGTCGGCCTGCTCTTCTCCACCCCTGCGCGTGCGTCAGCCTGCTCTTCCCCACCCGTGTGTGCATCCCAGGGTCTCAACTCCTGCTATGTATTGTGAGCCCAGATTCCCACCTCCAACCTCTGCCTCCTCCCTCAAGAGTCATCCCTACCTGTCATTTGGGCCTTTCAGACACAGCACATCCCGAAATCCACCCTGTCTCTCAAGCCCTGTCCAGAAACCCGCTCACTGTTTCCTAGACAAGCCCCTCACTCACCCAATTCGGACCCAAAGCACAGCCCATCCTCTACCATCCTACAGGACACCAGTGGGAAATTGTGCTGCCGCCCGCCTGGGGCACCTCCAGCAGCCACGGCGGAACTGGCACCTCCTGCCCGCGCCTTCCCTGGCGGCTTCGAGACAGCCCCTGCCTCTTCTGTGTCCCTCCAACCCGTTCGGCACAGCGACCGTGGGAAGACAAGGTCCCTGCAGCCCGGGCCCTATTGGACTTGCTGAGTGGAAGGGCGGTCGCTCTGTTCCAGCGCCCTGCTCTCTCCCTGTTCCCTCTGCTGGAATGCTCGTCCCCACACCCTTCTGCTCTGCTTGTCAGAACAGCTGCTGAGCCCTCCCCCTGCTCTCTGTCCCAATGTCACCTCAGGCAGCATCCTCCAGTCCTCACCCTGTTGTATTGTGCGCCTTTCATCTTCACGGCATCTCTCACCAACACTTTATTTACTACCTGATTTCCCTGCAGGCCTCCAGAAGGGAAGCCAGGGTCTTCTGTCCACCGCGGTGTCTCCAAGGATGGAAGAATTGGTGGCAAATGGAAAATATCTCGCAGAAATATACATGGTCAGCAGCAGTAATGTAAACCAAAGAAACGTACACATTGGGTGTGGGATGGTGGACGGTCCTCGGGCAGGTTCTCCATGCAGGTTCATCCCATGCTTGCTGCACCTGACAATCCCGGCAGGGGCAGAAAGACACGTTTCCACGGCGCCTGTGCTGTGGCCCTGCCCCCAACCCCCCCCTCCCAGAGCCCACTCCTCTAGCTCCCGGGCCATCTCCCTATAGCTCCCCCTCGGGCCTCCACCTGGGACGCTGTTCTCCCCCCTGCTTGAGCTTGACCGACTCGGATATCCCCGTCACACGGGATCCTGCCCTGACCTCTCGAATACCACGAGCACCGCCAGCCCCTCTCCAGGCCCCGTTCCTTGACACTGCTCACTTCTGCAACACGCATCAGACACAGCAGATGGAGTTACAGAGTTTGCTGACTGCTTGCCTGCACCCTCCCCGGACAAGCCGGCTGTGCTCCTGGATGTGCCCTGAGCGCCTGCCAGGGGCTCAGTGTGTTTACTGAGTGCCGGAAGGATCCCAGATGCCCTCAGTGAGGTGGACAGCTTCATCTGTGTATCCTGGAGGAAGGAACTAGGCTCAGAAAGGTGGAGGGCGCCTGAGATCACCTGGTTAGGACATGAGGAGGCAGGATTTCTCCCAGGGGCTGGTTCTAACCCCTGTGCAGAGTGAAATGCAGAAGCCACGCAACCTAAGGGCCTACTCTGAGCTACGAAGGGTGCACAGTTCACCGGGAGGGGTCCGTTCAGGGGAAGGAACTGGGCTAAGCAGCACAGACTGATCTGATGCTGTATGCTAGCCATTTCTAGGCTCCACATTTTATCTGGGGTAGAACTGCCCTGGGCAGAGCCGTGAGCGCCAGATTCCCAGCACTCAGCTGCCGGCTCCCCAACCGGTCACAGCAAAAGGAGGGTGTGGACCTGCAGAGCCAGTGCCTGCACCGAAGCCCAGCCTACCTTGGGCGGATCCTTGGTCCCTCCCTGGGGGAATCTCCCCTCTGAGCCGCGGAGCCGGGCTGGCCGGTGCTCCTGAGGTTCGAGGTGTGCGTGAATCCTGCTAACGGTGAGTCTGCTCAGGTCCGAAGGGGGTGGCTCCACAGAAGACCTCTGGGTGGCCCTGCCTGTGTCTGTCATTTGGGGGGAACACTCACTGTTCACAAAAAGCTCCACTCCTTCACTTTGGTGCATCTCCTGCTAAAGTCAGAATCCAGGCGACTGGCAAATGGCGCTCCCAGTAACCCCGCTGGTCAGGACTGATTATTTGGAGTTTATGGGAAATGGGAGGCGCCCAGGCCCACGGACTGAGAACACACAGGTGAGGGTCCAGATTCCTCAAGTCCATTTGCTCTCTCCCCCTCTATTGGGCCAGGCCACTCTCTTTGGGCGAACTGGTTTTCTTTCTGCTTGGCCTCAAACAGCGAGCTGCACTCAGGCGCCCCTGTGGGACACGGAAACTTCCCTTTGCCTCCTCTGGCGTGGGAGAGGCCAGCTGCAGCGAGGAGCAGGGGATGCAGAAGGGTTGGTACCAATCAGGCCTGCTCAGGGGCCCGACATGCTTTCTCCCAAGCTCGGGAACCTGGAAGACTCGAGTTGGATCCAGGAAGACCCCGCTGAGCCACTGGGCTATGTTCAGCACAGGGTAGGGGCCAAGGAGCCCTGTCTGGGGGTACGGTGGCTCCAATCCCTGCTCACCCCTCACTGCCACCGGACTTCAGAGGCCCATAACCTCTCTCTCCGCCACAGTAGGAACATCTAGCTGTACCCTCCCCTGAAGCCCGCAGTGAGCTTCCTGACCACCCCCTGGGGCCGGCTCTGACCCCAGGCCCTCTGCGCATTCCCCAGCGTTGTCCTGATGCTCAGAAGGGCCCTACAGCGGGCAGGCTTTCTTAAACTGTGAAACTCCCAAAATGGGCTTCATCCCAAGAAAGCCCGGCCTCCCGGAGTGGATGAGACTTGGGGGGGGGGGGGGGCGGTTAGGGGTGGTCTCTCCGGCGGCCGCGAGCCGGGCGGAGGGGAGGGGTTCTGGCGGCTAGGGGATTGGATCCGCCAGGGTGCGGGGTCGGGAGGGTCACAGGCGGGCTCGGAGATGGAGTGGCCCGCGGCGCGCGGGAGCAGGGCGCACCTCCTTCCGCTCCCCCCACCCACTTCCAGCATCCGGGCGCGGCTCGGGGGTCGCGCTCGGCCCTTCCCGGCGCCCGCAGCCCCGGGGTGGGGGGGTGGGGAGCCGGGTTGGGGAGAGCGGCGGCGGGAGGAGCCCCCCCACGGCCCTTTGGGCAGCCGCGCGCGCCTCGCCGCCGCCCGCGTCCCCGGCCGCCCGCTCGCCCGCCCCCGGCGCGCGTCCCCCGCGCGGGCTCCGGGTCGTCCAGGCCGCCACGGCGCGGTGGGTCCACAAAGCTCCCGGCCGGCCGCCGAGGCCCGGGCGCGCGGAGCCGGGGCGGGGCGGGGCGGGGCACGCGGGCCGGGCCGGGCCGGGGGGTGTCGGATGTCACCCCCCGCGCACACCTCGGCCGGGGGGCGGGGGAGCGAACCACTGAGATGCGGAGACCTCCCCGGTCCTAGAGCGGAGCAGGAAGTGTCCCAGGGGAGGGAGCCGGAGGGCTCCGGCCTTTCCTTTCCTGCGCGTCCGGCGGGCTCCGCGGCGGCCAGGCTCGCGCTGCCCGCCACCGGGGACGCGCCGCGGCGGTGAGTGCGGCCTGGGCCGCCCGGCTCCCCGCGCGCCCCGGCTCCCCGCGCGCCCCGCTTCCCCGCGCGCCCCGGCCGCCCTGCCCGGAGCCGAGCGGCGGGGACGGTGCGGGCGGGGCCGCAAGGCGACACAAATGCTGTTTTTCAGGCGCCTCCATTTGCTCCCACGTCTCCAGTCGCGAGCGCAGCCGCGGTTTTCTGGATGAGCCGGGGACGGAGTGGGCCCCTGCGAGGAACCGGCCCGCCTCAGGAAGGACGCCCGGGGCAGCGGGCTGGGAGGATGAGGAGCTGCTGCCGGAGACTTCCGCCGCAGCAGGAGGGATTCGAGTTAGACGCCGGGCCGGAGTTCCAGGCGGTGAGGTGAGCAGCCGGGAGCTGGTGGGACTGCGGGCGCGCTTGGGTGGCCGGGCGGGGAGGCGAGAGAGGCAGGCAGCGAGGAAGGCTGGCCCCTCCGCCCGGCCCGGCCTGCCACCCTCCTTCCTTTCCGCCGCTCGGGCTGCGTCGTCCTGGAGCTGCTTTCAGCACGCCCCGCCCCCTCCGGGAATGCCCCCTGGACCAACGTGAGTTCGTTCATCGGGCATCTCCTGCCGAGCCGCCTGCGTGCCAGGTGCCCGGGCGACAAAGAGGGACCGGGCTGTGTGCTCGGGGGTGATCCGCAGCGCCCGGAGCGCTGCAGGCGCGGCGCGGGGCTCCCAGCCTGGGGGCAGACCTGAGCACCCTGGAGGCCGTGCCGGGGGGTGATGGCCGAGCTCCTAGAAGCTGGCGGCCAGGTGCGCTGGGACGGTGTTCCAGATGCTGGCGAAGACACCCCCAGAGTGCTTTGGTGAGGCCTGAGTGGTAGGGAAGGGGCCGTGTTTCCCCATGTGCCCTTCACGTTCCTGGAGTCCCCAGCCCCACCCCCCAGAGGAGCCGTCGCGGCTCTCTGATGTCCCTGGGGAGGTGCGCCCCCCCAGCCCCTGTGCCCTGAGCGCCCCACCTCTGTCCTGTCTGAGGAACGGCCGTGAGCTGTGTGCTGTCGCCTTCACCATGGTTGGGGATGACACGGGGAGGGGTGCAGGCAAGGCTGAAGGCCAGGGAGGACGGCTTGGTACCCAAGTTGTATTCAGACTTTGGAGTGAGGGATGGAGGCTGACCTGCAGCGCTGCTGCTTCTAAGTACACAGTTCTCTCTGGTTACACGCAGGATGCGGCTGCGTCTCTCGCCTCTCCCTGTCTCTCGTCTCTGCCTGTCTCTGGCCTCTCCGCGTCTCTCATCTGCAGTTCTGTTCTGTCCAGCTCAGTCTGGCAGGTCCAGCACCCACCGGTGCTCGGCCCCGGCCACCCGCGGGGTTGACTTCTGGTCCCGGGTCTGCTTTGAATGCCCTTCCCAGGCACGTCTGCCTTTATCTTCCCAGCTCTTCTTGCAAAAGTCTCAAGGGCGAGGACGGCGACTTTGGCTCCAAAGCCTCAAGATAACGTCCTGCTCGGCGCGTGCGTCTCAGGTCCTGTTCCGAGAACCTGGCCACCAAAGGTACCACGGTGCCTTCCTTCCATCTGTGTCCTGCGTGTGGCCCCGTCCGTGTCCTGTCCTGCTAGCACTTCTCTCCCAGACTCCCCGCCTTGTGTGTCTGGTCACCCAGCGAGGGGGATCACGTGATGGTGCTGTTGGGGGCGGGAGTGGTATTTCCCTCGCCCCCTTGTGTAAAGGGCAGCCACGTGTACCCCTCCCGCGTGTCCCAGACCTTCTCCCGAGGGCTGGTCTCTGTGGGCTCTGCACACTCCCCAGCACCACCCCCAAGAACCTACCACAGCAGACCAGAACATTGAAGCCAGTGATTTCTGTTTGGAAATAGGGTCGTCTTCTGCTGCTGACCCCCATCAAACCCCATCATGCCCACAGCCCTGTGCCCCCGAGTCTTGGCTCCAAAGGAAAGTGAGGAGCCCAGGAAAATGAGGAGCCCACCGGGAGAGAACCCTAGCCCCCAGGGGGAGCTTCCCAGCCCCGAGTCCTCCCGCCGCCTCTTCCGCCGGTTCCGCTACCAGGAGGCGGCGGGCCCCCGGGAGGCCCTGCACCGCCTCTGGGACCTGTGCCGGGGCTGGCTGCGGCCTGAGAGGCACACCAAGGAGCAGATCCTGGAGCTGCTGGTGCTGGAGCAGTTCCTGGCCATCCTGCCCCGGGAGATCCAGGGCTGGGTGCGGGCCCAGGAGCCCGAGAGCGGCGACCAGGCTGTGGCGGCCGTGGAGGCTCTGGAGCGGGAACCGGGGAGACCGTGGCAGTGGGTGAGCGTGGGGTCTGCGCTGGGCTGGCCGGGGCGGGGGGCGTTTGTGGAGAGGGGCTGCCGTGGACTTGGAAGCTCGGCGGCATCACGTGTCCCCTGGCCAGGGGTGAGAAATTCCGTCTGGAGCGCCGGGCTTCGGTGAGGCTCACGCTGGAGTCGGTTTCCCAAGACAGCGGGTTCCGCTCCTTGAGGGGTCCTGTGTGAGCCTCCCGTGCTCTGCCGGGAAGGTGCCAGGCAGGCCCGGGGGGCAGGGGGAACGGTGTTGGCCCAGTTTCTGGCTCAGCCACCAGCCCGCGCCTGGCCAGGGACCTGTCCACCTGGCCCTGAAACACCCTCCCTGGGATTGCAGCTCAAGCACTGTGAGGACCCCGTGGTGATCGAGGATGGGGACGGCCCTCCGGACCCGGAGCAGGAACGGCTGCCGGCAGAAGCCCAGGGCGACCTTGCCAAGAGTCAGGACACCCAGCCTGTGGCCCTGGCGCCGGGCCCCGGGCTCCCAAGCAGACCGCCGGGCCAGCTCAGTGGGGATCCAGGTACCAGCCAAGGGGGTGGGGGGGGGGCATGCACCCTGTGGTTCACCGGTGCTCTTCATGGGCCACCTTCTGCGGGTGAGGAAAGAGACACACTTCTCCCCTCTCTTTCAGTTCTGCAAGACACCCCCCTTCTTCAGGAAGCGAGTTTGAGGGACGCACAGCAGGTGACGGCCCTCCAGCTGCCCCCGGTGAGTGATTTCCGCCAGAGCTCCTGAACCCCCACTGCCCTCTGCACACAGCATGGTGGAGCGCAGTGGCCTCAGATCCCCATGCACTGTCCTCTGGACGCTCTAGGGCCCCCCATGAAAGATGGGAGACCGCACAGCGTACCCGTTTCTGTCCTAATCGTCACACTGATTGTGTTCCAGAGTGTTGGGTGGTGGAGGGAGAAGGCACAGGTCATTGCAGTACCGTACACAGCCGGGCGCATTGTCCGGGAGTCTCCGTGGTACGTTCCCTTGTGATACTGCACACATCCAAGCAAGTCTTCCTTTCACAAGCATGCCCCATGCGATGGAGAGCCTGTCCGACGGGTGGTCTCGCTCCCTCCTTTCCGGCCTTGTTGCTGCCTTTGGCTGCAGCTTCTCATAATGCCTCCTTCGGAAGTTTTCCTGACACGTTCCCCTGGCTGGCAGGCGATGTGGTCTCATTCCGTGGGGAAATGGGTGATGTGAGGCATGGACCTGGCAGATGGAGCGCTGTCTGAGGGTCCCAGGTGTGCCTCCAGCACCGTGCATCCAACGGGACTTGGGACCTGGGAGTGGGGTTGGCTCAGGGTGGGGAGGAGCTAGTGAGTATGTGGCTCAGGATGTCTCCGTTCCCCGTTCCCCCTTCCCCTTGAGCCTTATCCAGGGGCTCTTATATCTCGAGCCTTATCCAAGGCATCGGCTGTGTCCCGTGACGGCTGTAGAACAGACTGACCCAAAGGAGGTGAAACACACGTTTCTTAGTAAAGGTCAAGACTTCTGACCGGTATGACGTGCAGACAGGTGCTGTGAGCTCAGCATCCAGTGAGCCCGGCACCCATCTGGGTCTCCGTCTGCTCCTATACAACGGGAAGACGGATTTCGGTGAGTCAGCGCCCTCTGCTCGCTCCACCTCTGCTCAGGGCGCTAGAAGTGACTGTCACAAAGCTCTTATTTTTTCAGAATCATTTTGAAATTCGTTAAATTCTTTTTTTTTTTTTGGATTTTTTTATTATGTTAATCACAATACATTATATCATTAGTTTTTGATGAAATTCGTTAAATTCTTTTTTTTTTTTTGGATTTTTTTATTATGTTAATCACAATACATTATATCATTAGTTTTTGATGAAATTCGTTAAATTCTTTTTTTTTTTTTTTTAAGATTTTATTTATTTGACAGAGAGAGACACAGTGAAAGAGGGAACACAAGCAGGGGGAGTGGGAGAGGGAGAAGCAGGCTTCCTGCGGAGCAGGGAGCTGGATGCAGGGCTCGATCCCAGGACCCCGGGATCATGACCTGAGCTGAAGGCAGACGCGTAATGACTGAGTCACGCAGGCGCCCCGAAATTCGTTAAATTCTTTATTGTGGTAAAGTACATATTACGTAAAATTTCCCATCTTAACTATTTTTAACGCATAGCAGCGTCTTTAAGCATTCAGCGATATTAGCTACATTCCCACTGTCGTGCAGACGGTCTCCAGAACTGTCTCATCTTCCGAAGTGGAAACCTGCTGCTGGTTAGGGAATAACTCCCCTCGCCCCAGCACACACAAACGGCCTTCTGCCTCTGAATTCGACTACTCCTCATAGCTCGTGCAAGTGCAGTGACACCTTTACAGCGTTTGTGTCTCCCTGGCTGGCTTGTTTCGTGCACCGTGGTGTCCTCGAGGTTCAGTCACACTGTCATGTGACGGGCTCTCCTTCCTTTCTGAGGCTGAATAATATTGCGTGGCGTGCACGTAATGCGTTCTGGTAGCTGAGTGACACTGCGCGGCTTGCACGTAATGCGTTCTCTTCATTCCCTTGTCCCTGGCACTTGGCCTGCATCTAGCTCGCATCCCCCGTGAGCAGTGCTGCCGTGAACATGGACACACACACGTAAACGTATGGTTGATCTTTCTTTCTGGAGATGATTGCATCCTCTGCAGCGGCCAGAGAGAACAGCTCCCTTGTACTCATCGCACTACACGGTCGTGTCGGGAAAATACCGTAGACAGTCGTGGCCAGCACGTTGGTGTGGATGCACACAAGATGCAGAACATGGCCTTCACCGGAGCCATCCTTCCCGTTGCCCTTGATCGCAGGCCCACGCCTGCGTTGCTCTGTCCTCGGGCTGCCCAACCACAGACGTTTGTAAATGGATCCCGCATCTGTGGACTGAGTGCTTTCAGTCTGTGCAGCAGTGGAGTGGGGCGGGCTTTGCAGGTGTCGTTGGCTCATGCCTTGCTGTGTGCGGTGAGATTCCACAGCTAGGATGCACCGCAGTGCGCGCGACCACTCCCCTGTTAAAACCGCCGGCTTGTTTCCAGTCTGGGGTCATTTTGCACAAAGCTGGTGTAGATACCGGCGTGCGGGCCACCATGGGAGCATCACCTTCTTGCTGGGGGATGAAGCCCCAAGTTTGCACTTGCTGGGTTGTACGGTACGTGCATGTTTTGTGAGAAACTGCTGCGTCCTTTTCCAGAGGGACTGTGGCATGACATTCCCGAGTGCCGTGTGAGCGGAGCCCACTCTCACGTCCCGGCCACTGTCTGCCGGTGGCACGGTGTTTTCTTTCAGCCCCTCTGATTCTGCGCCATGCCGCCGGCTTATTGCGGTGTACGTGATCATCGCTGAGGGTCGCAGGCTTCGGTGTCGAGTCGGGCGCTGACCCGGCGGCTCTGTGTATCCTCTCCCTCGACGTGTTTCCATTTGCGTTTCTGCAGGTGTTTTGGCAGCTCCATGTATGTTCTGGAGATTCGTTCTTCGTTGGGTATGTGTCTCATTTTCGGGCTTGTCTTGCCATCCCTTTTCACGGTGCTTAGCAGAGCAAAATTGTCTTGTGTTTTTTCCCCCCCAGGATTTCAATCATTTTATTTTACTTTATTTTGTATTAAAGTATGGTTGAAGCACGAAAGTGTTTCATTTGGATTTAGTCCAGGTTCTGCGGTTTTCCTTTTTTAAGGATCATGCTTTCGGTGCAAAGGCTAAGAACCCTCTTCGATCCCTAAGACTTCCTGCTCTATTTTTTCCTAAAAGTCATGTAATTGAACATCTTGCACTTCAAGTTCATGCTGCATTTAATCCAGGACCTGTGATCGTTCACAGTGGAGCCCGTGAGCAGTCCCTCTTGTATCCGGTGTGGGACTGGGGTTGCGGTGTCTCTGATTTTGGGAGCAGATGGCAGCTTGCTCCAGCCGCGAGTGCTGGAAGGTTCTGTCCTCGCTTGGAGTGCAAACCTCATTGGAGCCCATTTCTGTGGGTCTGTTCCGGGTTCTTCCGTCGGGGTCATGCACTTTTTCGTCTCTTGACTGCTGTAGCCGCACGCACACTGGGTCTTGAAGTCGGGTACTGATTCCTCCCATTGTATTATTTTTTTTTTAATTATTTAGCTCTGTCAGTCCTGCTGCTTTCTGTGTAAATTTTAGAATAATCTTGTCCCTATCCACAAAAACTCTTAACTGAGATTTTGATAGGAATTCTGTTAAGCCTGTATGTCCATTTGGGGAGCATTGACATTTTTGCCCTCTGACTCATTCTGTCCGTGGATGTGCCGTGCCTCTCCATTTACTTTTTTTTTTTTAAGATTTTTTTTTTATTTTTATTCTTTTTAAATAACCTCTACACCCCAGGTAGGGCTCACCCCACGACCCAGAGATCAAGAGTGAGTAGCACACTCCCCAACTGAGCCACCCAGGCGCCCTCATGTTTTGTTAGATTTATACCTAAGTACTTCATTTTTTGAGCAATTGCAAACGATATGATTATCATTTTAGTACTTTGATGACGACATACTCATTTCTTGTCTAAGAAGTGCAGTTTGTTCTTGTAGGTTTCTCTTGTAGCCTGTGACCTTGCTGGATTTGTGCATCTGTTTGTTTTCAAACGGCGTGCTCTAGATTTCCGTGTTCACAGTCACGCCGTGTGCACGTAAAGACAGTCGTACTTCTTTCCGGGCTGTGTCTTGTTCCTTTCCCGGCTTCGTTCAGCCGAGAACTCCCAGCACCGTGTCGGGGCTTAGCAGGAAAGGGTTCAGTCTTTGACCGTCCGCTGTCACCGTTCGCGACAACGGCAGCCACGGGTTTGGAAATACTCCTCATGCAGTTGGGAGACTTCCTCGATCCTGTTGTCCTGCAGTTTTAATTATAACAGGTGGCTGTTGAAACTTGTCAAAACTTCTGTTCCAGTTGGTCACGTGGATTTTCTGTAGACTGTTAATGTTGTGGGTTATATTTATTGACTTGTGGATATCAAACCAGCCTTGCATCCCTGGAATGGACCTCTTCTGGTCATGGAGTAACATTCTGTGGGTACAGTGCCAAATTTTATTTGCTTTTACAATTGACCCTTGAACAACACGAATTTGAACTGTGCTTGTCCATTTACGTGCAGGTTTTTTTTTTTTTTTTTTTACAAATACAGTAGAGTACCATCAGTGTGCCTTCTCTTCGGTTTGATTTTCTTAATAGTCCCCCTTGTTGCTTCCTTTATTGTAAGAATACGGCGTGTGATACGTATAACATACAAAATATGCTTGTCGACTGTTTACGTCAAGTTTGGGGGACGTCAGAAGGTATACATGGATTGTGTGTTGCAGGGGGAGGGTTGTGCCCCTGACCCCCGCATAGTGCAAGGGTCACCTACATTTCGTTAAGGATTTCTGGAGCTTCTGGTCTTCACGGTCTTTGTCTGGCTTTGGTATCAGCGTTATGCTAGGTTCGCAAGATGAATCAGGATGGGTCTGCTCTTGATTTCCTCAGGAGATTGTTTAGAATTGGTTTTCATTCTCTGAACTGTTGAGCGCCCGTCCGTGCCATGCGGGGTCCCCTGAGGCTCCGTGGCCGGCCAGGGCGCATCTGCGATCCCACTCGCGGGGCCGCGGGGCTGGGCTCTCTGCCCACTGGGTTTCGTTCCTCTTCCTTGGTTGCGTTCTCAGGCGCTGGCCCGAGGGTGAGGGACGGGAGTGCGTAAGTCTTGTCACGATGCGGAGTCCGTTGTTTCCCCGGAGCCCTCAGAGGCG